CTTCCGCATCAGTACGCCGCGCATTTAAAACAGCTTTTGTTTCCTTTAATGCATTTTCATATGCAGAACGCATTCCATAGCGTTCTCTTAATTCCTTAAAAATCAAGAATTACGACCTGATTTCAGCAATAGTAGAATGTCGTCAAAACTAAGTGGTAATTCCAAATTTACAGTTGAAATTACAAAAATATATAATGGATGTTATCAAATAATTTTTCGTTGTAACAGATGTAGGAAAACTTACCAGTTTCGCTTTCTCTTTATTATGCTTATATTCCTTCTTTTGAGCATTGGAGAACGCTTTTAGCTCATTTTCATGCTGCGAATTTAACTGACGCCGTAACCTACGCTCTGCTTCATCATATTCACGGAGCTAAAGGAAAAAATGCGGTAAATGATACTGTTTGCAAATCCTGCATTCAAATTGTAGTTTGTATCAAGAAGTCAGTATTAACAAATTTCAAACTTATTTTGTATTTGAAGCGATGAAAAGAGCACGAGGACTCTATCAACAATTTTTCAAGTCACATTTTGCAAAAGACTTAAGTGTACTTGAGAATGACACTGATATAGCTGAAATAAGAAATCATACCTTTTTATCTTTCTCAGTATTTTGATTGTTACGTAGACGCTGAAGTTCTTTGCCAAAGGAATTTAAAAGATTTTCATATTCTTTATCAGCTTTTTGTTTGAACGACTCCATTTCCATTGCACATCTCTCATCGAGCTAAATGAAAACATCTTTAAATTGCAAAGGAATAAAAGAACAGTGTTTTCTCTTCGAACAGAAAATTCACCATAATGTTATGGACATGAGTTCATTTGTGAAGAAATTTTAGGAAGAACCATCTAACTCTTTCCTTGCTTCTGTACTACAAATCCTCTAAAAATAAAACTGACCTGCTTCAATTCCTTCTGATGTTGCTGACGTAAACGTTTATAACCACTCATCTGTTCGTATATATTATTCTCCCTATTATATTCCTCCAGTTCTTTTGAAATCAACTTCGTTGTTCGTAATGTTGAAAACTTTGACCGTCGAAGAGTTGCCATTTCCTCCTAAAACAATTCTATATAAGTATTGCGTTTGTAATGAAAAACTGGAATAGATAAAACTGACAATCCATGATTAAAACTGAAAACCACGAATAAACTGAAAGCATACATTAATCGGCCTCGTAGTTTCGTCCGATGCTAAGGTGGATGTTGGTATTTCTGACGAAGTTTCTTCAACAAGTGGTGATTCATGCATTGAATGCATGCAATGGCTTCCTCCGTCACCAACGTGAATTATAGTACGATTCTGAAATATAAGAACTGCTTCGTTGAAGACGTAAAGAGGCTAGAAGAAAATCGTAATTTCTCAATTTGAATAAATACAACTGATTTAAAATCCGGAAGCAATGGCATATACTGCTGATAATCGCGGTCTTCCGAAATGTATCTTGCTTCCTTGTTAATAACCTTAAAAATCAGAGACAAATCACGCTCATTCTCACTTGTGTAAAAACTGATTTCGTACACAGAATTACCTTGTCAATGTTATCCAACTCTTCATTGATGCTGCTGATATCGGAGCCAGCTGATGAAAAAACACGAAGAGGAACAAGAGGCCGTGCAGTAATGATCTTGCCATTGTCCCCATGATGACTGTCGGAAATAGGAGCACTTGAATGATACGACTGGAATGAAGAAATCGAATTTGACCGCGAACTTGCCGAGCCTCCTATTCCTGATAACTCTTCATCCTGCAAAACCACAAAAACCGTTTGAAAATGCAACGTGATTAAAAAAAAATCAATTTCTGGATTAAATGTAAGAAACCAATTTTCTAAAAAACCAAAAGAAATTAGATAAATCCGACAGCCATTTAAACATCTTATCATGAACGATCTATTCTCCGATATTAATCTATCTTGTCTCACGTAAAATATTGTAATCCTGTATCTTTTATATCTTCTATAATTTTCATCTCGAATATCATGAGATGAATCACTATGAAGGCATCTAAACAAACTATATGGTCATGTGACCAGAAGAATCAGAAACTTCACACCTGCACAGCTTTAATATTGTGACAATAAAAAAAAGTATGTTAAAGCAGAAGAAATGTTAAAATAAATCAAGCGAAGATCACATTAATAATAGAAAAGTGAAGCAAGGCTATACCACATCATGCCGATCCGCTGTCATCGTATCGTCGGTCACAATACTTTGCTGCTCGTCAAGATAGACTAATTTCCTCATTTTCCTATACTGGAAGTTGTCCAAATCGCTGACCAGTGCCTTTGTTCTTGTTATCAATTCAAAAATTACACCATCCAAACGTCCATTCACAATAAATGGATGCTATAAGCAGTTTCAAATAAAGATTTTACAAAATGCAAAAAGTAGAATTTATATACTATTTTTTTTCTTCAGAAAGCAAATGCACTAATTTATTCTGTATTCACCTACAGGGATAATATAACAGAAATAAAAAACTTACCTGCTGACAAGGACCTGTTTTCATTCGCTCTCGTGGATCTTTGCGTAGGCAAAGATCGACGAATGATTGGAAGTCCGTAGACCACGTTGAAGAATTCTCGCCATGTGAAAGCGTTGGGGGATCATTCTGAGCAATATGATATAGTGCAGACATTGCATTCATGTTGAAAAGAGGCGGACGTCGTTCCGCTGAAAAAAACTTCTACGGTGACAGTTAATTACAAATTAGTACCACTTCACCTGTTTTACGTTTATCAAATATGAAGCTAAATTCACTGTTTTGATCATGTCAACTATCAATGCAAAAATTATAAGAATTTTGCCGAAAGAGAAAACTAACCTAATTCAATACAAGTGATTCCAAGAGACCAAATATCTGCACTCTGGTCATAATGTCCTTCATCCATTGCCAGAATAACTTCAGGAGCCATCCAATACGGTGTACCGACAAAACTTTGAGCAGGACATAAAGTGGAAGCACTCCCAAAGTCAGCTATAATCAAATTACCTCAGATATCAAAGTCATTACTCAACATCAATCTAAATGAATGCTGATCAAAATTTAACCAAGTTAAAAAATATTTTGTATCGAACATTTAAAAACTTTAATTTCACCGTAATCCCTACTCTAAGGAAGATAAACAGAAGTTTATACAGTAAGAGCTTACCAAGTTTAACAATGCCATTATCGGTTAAAAGAATATTTCCAGCTTTAACATCTCGATGTATACGTCCTAATTTATGGAGATAAGAGAGCCCAAAAAGTGTCTGCTCAATAATTGCAGCGATTTCACATTCCCGAATTGGGCTACGATGAACTTCAACTATGTCTGCCGCGGAACCAATACAATATTCCATCACTAGCTGTAACAACTTTCACCCATTATTAACTTATAGAAACATAAAAATTGTCATTGAAGAATGCTTGTTATTGCTGTAAATTTTAAGAATCATAAATCAAAAGAGGAAAATTTTACATTCTTTTCCCTTTTGAATAAGTGAGCACTTCAACTTAGGCACAATTAAAATATACAAATTTTCGAAATTTATAGAAGTTACCCAACAAGTATGGTCTTTTAAATAACATGCTCGATATTCAACAATATTTTCATGCTTGATATTTTTCAGGAAGGACACTTCTTTGATGATATCAGACCACTTTTCAACCGACTGTTTGCCGGAAAAAGCCATTTTCTTAATTGCAACCGTTGTATTCGTTTCCAAATCCTGCGCCTGAAATGAATTAAATTTAGGCAATTAATAAAATTGTTCTGGAAAACATAAAACCAAAAACGAAAATCTTTATAAATCTGAAATGAAATTGGATATAAGAATTATGAAGTCATAAATGCCATCAAATAAGGAAAGCAAAATCAAGCTATTCTGTCCTTGGAATTTTCAATGGAAAATATTGCTGAAAGAAAACAACTGTTTTACTGGGGAATTTCACCTCATTATACATGAAAATTCCACATAAAGAAACAAATTTCACATAAGAAATTCTAAAGAGAAATTTCTTTACCAAAATTTCCATTGAGAATTTTCTTATTTCATTGAAAATAAAACGAAAAATATCAACTGCTTTGAATCAATTACTTTTATGCTTTACCTCGCTTTAATTTTTTTCCAAAATAACTTTGTCATATAAAAGGAAGATGAGACATAATATTGTTAAACATTACCTCAGAGTTAATCACCGAACAGACAGAAGGAAAAAAAGAACTTACGAAAAAAACAGCTCCGAATGAGCCATGACCAATTTCACGCAAATCCTCGAAACGCTGTTCCGGATCTTTCACAGAGAATAACGAAGCCACAACGGGATCCTTCAAGCTACCCGGTTTACCTATTGACGCAGTCGGCATTACCAATATTTAGTACCCGAAATCCATAGGAAATTCCGCAGAACTTGTCCGATACAATGTGAACTAGAAGTTATGAGGCGCCTAATTGCTATTTCTGAAATTTCGAAAATTCGTTCAAAATTAACTTCATTAAAATCTCACAAATGCATCCTCTTACCCTGGACACACAACCGCCAAACATATACACGCACACGTGTATACCCACGTACACACGTACCCACACGTGAGCAAACAGATGCATGTACACACAAGTGTGCGTAAGCATACACATGGTGTCATTTTGTCTCTATTACCACATAGGACTATCGTATACCGGATCATCGTATCCGAACTTTGCTTATTTTATTATTCGACAAGCGGCATAATTTTTATTTCCCACTAGCTAAGTGCATTATATAAGCAGGGATTAAGTTTCGGAAAATCGTAGATGTTGGACGGAATTAAGATGAGTTACCTTTTTGCCCTAATTACTAAGTTTATGGCTACGATATGTATTATTGTCTTTTCGGAAAAAAACGGGATGTGAAAATAAATCCGCTGATATTTCTTTTTCCATTCGTACCTTGCAGCTTATTTGATTAATTTTCACTCGCACAAGCTAATTTGTCATTTTCAGCTAGCCGTAATTACGAAATTTACGGGAAAAATATGACACCACCGATGGCTGCTGGATTGATATCTACGGGTACAGTAAATAAAGGTAGTGAGGAACAAAGCTTGAAACGTTATTACAAAACAAAAATCGAAGACATGCAGGTGATGGTTAATGGAAGCTTTGAAAAATTTGTGCAATGAGCATTAATGTATATGATAATGTATTTTAGTAACTGGGGATAAATGTTCTACAAGTTTTTGATTTGAAAAATACAGGAAGAATTTTGAAATTTATGATTTTAGCAACGAGTTGCAGAGAAAACACAAAATCTGCGACGACTTCATGCTCAACGAAATGAACTTAATACAAAGGCATGTTTAATTTAGATTTAATTTACAATGTGTGGTTTAATATTAATGACAAAAATGGCCAAAAAGCAACTGTGGATATAAACATTATATAGTATACTTATCAATATTTTATAATTATAGTTTGTTATTAGGAAAGATTTTAAATAGGAATTCTTTTAGGTTCGCATGTTGAAGGAGGAACTGCAACAGCTACATGAGCAGGGATCCTATGTTGGTGAAGTATCAAAAGCGATGGATAAAAAGAAAGTACTCGTCAAGGTTTGTTTGTCGTTTTGAGACCTTCTATCTTTCTGTTATGTCTTTTATTCTAAAATTTCTTCCATATTTCAAATTAACATATATATTTCTATTTTCTCCCTAAATAATTTCTATTTTAGGTTCATCCGGAGGGAAAATACGTTGTTGATTTGGATAAAGGTATTGACATAAATAGCGTCACTTCGGGGTGTCGTGTTGCTCTCAGAGCTGATAGCTATGCGTTACATAAAGTACTCCCAAACAAGGTTCTGTTTACAGAATAACTAGCATTACAGCATTATAGAATGGGCATTATGCTTGCATTTGCATGTTTCTTTAAGTAAATGCATGTTTTCTTCTGGCCCTAGAGTATGTAGAGGTTGCAGATTTTCGGTGTTTCGAAAGAAAAAGGGTAACTATCGAGATGTTACTGCTTAATCTACATAACCATCATTTATTGTATGACAACTGCAGCTTTTCAAGATCTAAGTTTAGAAATGCTGCTATGCAGGTGTGCATTCGAAATAATCAGGCATTGTGCAGTTTTGTTAATGTGCCATCGGTTTATTGTTTTAGCATATATTTGCATATTGTCTTTGCTTATGTGGGCTTTCAAGTCCACAGTTCTTTAAATAATTGCTAATATAATTCGGCATTTGGTTTTTTTATGAGAGAAAGTTCAACTATCGCAAAATTAGTATTAGTTTCATTCCTATTTGTTCTAATAATTTTTGACAGATTGATCCTCTGGTTTCTCTTATGATGGTAGAGAAAGTTCCCGATTCAACTTACGAAATGATTGGCGGTTTGGATAAACAGATAAAGGAGATAAAAGAAGTGATCGAATTACCTGTGAAACACCCAGAACTTTTCGATGCATTGGGAATTGCACAGCCCAAGGTTTGTCTAATGCACTGTACTGAAAGGCTCAGTTATTTTATCCCTTTTGCTTTTTTTTATTATTCTGCCAATATATATCTTTGTGTACGTTCATATAAACCCAAGTTCAAATTTTAATCCTTTTAAAGCATATAAAGTTACTAGAAGTGAGTGTAAATGAATTGAATATTTGTAGGGGGTCCTATTGTATGGTCCACCTGGAACGGGTAAAACATTACTTGCCCGCGCTGTGGCCCATCATACGGAATGTACGTTCATTCGAGTATCGGGCTCCGAATTGGTTCAGAAGTTTATTGGAGAAGGTGCTCGTATGGTTCGCGAATTGTTCGTAATGGCTCGTGAGCACGCACCGTCAATAATTTTTATGGATGAAATAGATTCCATTGGTTCATCTCGTGTTGAAGGTAGCAGTGGCGGTAAGTCGTTATTAGGTCTTTTTTCTGTACAGTTTATTTAATTAGTCGCAATGAACACTTTATATTCATTTTTGCATTAAGCAGCTTTTTCCAACAGGTGACTCGGAAGTTCAACGTACAATGTTAGAGCTGTTGAATCAACTTGATGGTTTTGAAGCTACCAAAAATATCAAAGTGATTATGGCAACAAATCGCATTGATATTCTCGATCCTGCACTTTTGAGACCAGGTTTTATTCTTTCAGTAGTTTCTTTTTTGCATACATTTGGAATATACATTATTTGCAACCTATTACGTACAACAAACGTTCAAGGTTTTGTTATCATTTGCAGTAATTTGCTTATTTATTTTATTATTTATTGAATTTATTCATTTTCAAATATCCTCCTGATACAAATCTCAATTTTTACAGGAAGAATCGACAGAAAAATAGAATTTCCCGCACCTGATGAGAAAGCACGTGCAGATATACTAAAAATCCATTCACGAAAAATGAATCTTATGCGAGGTATAAACATGAAGAAAATAGCAGAAGCTATACCTGGTGCAAGCGGCGCTGAAGTGAGTTATTTAGTTTGTTTCGTCGGATTAAGTTGAAATTAAATTGCTTTGTAGAATTATTTCTATGATTGCACTTATTTGCAATAATTTACTTTTAAGGTCAAAGCTGTTTGTACCGAAGCTGGCATGTTTGCTTTGCGGGAGCGTCGTATTCATGTAACTCAAGAAGATTTCGAAATGGCTGTTGGCAAGGTAGGATTAATGATTAATCGATTAATATCCTTTTGGTTTTAATTTTTTTATTGGATTAAAAATTCATTTTTACAAATAATGTTTTACACTTTTTTCAGGTAATGCAAAAAGATTCGGATAAGAATATGTCATTGAAGAAGCTTTGGAAGTGATCTCATTCTGTTTAATGGTAATTGAGCAGTGACTGCTCTCTCACAAATCTTTAATCGCTTTTCTCCTATCATAATTAAAAAGCGTTTCTACTACTGAAAATCTGTGATCAATCCTTTCCATTTGTATCCTATCGATTTGTATTTTCTGCGTTCAGAGATTTTGAAAATGATGGATTACATTTGACTAGTAAGAACTGATTTTGTATGAAAATTTTTGAATAAAATTTATATTAACAAAATTTCTTTTATGAAATTTTGTTTCATTCGTTGTTTTTCAGACAAAGTAGTCGATATCAAGTATTTGAATTTTTGAAGTTTTTCATCTTTCATATAATTATTTTATATAACAAGTAGTCTGCTACAAGCTTTCTTGTAAACTTTTATACCTAGCAGTCAGTAATATTGTCAAGTTAAGAGAGACAGTATTCAAGTAATTTCAAGAGCCGGTATCGTATTGTCTAGGCATATATTTATCTCGCCCAAAAGGCGTATTCCAATTTGTATTTGCGAGTATATATCTTACTATAGAAGCGAAAATGAAGAACATGTTTCTAGAGTTATTACTTATTTAATGGTGAGTGCTAACTGGTATGCATTATTCACATGAACTCGTCAAGTCTCACTTGCGCACTTTGCACTCGTCCAATTATATCAACTAGCAATGTGCGATCCTGCAGTTCGTGCAGAAAGTGAGTGTCTGCTTTTTTTCTTCAGATAACTTAGGAATCTCTCAGGAATAACTGGGAAGTGGTTATCCTGCTTTTGTCTATTGATTTAAGGGAATATTTTGCAGTCTTTGAATAAATCTGAGTGTTGTTACCACCAAATTATGGCTGAAACATTGGATTACTTCACGAGCTATAATTATGGTGTTTGGAAAGAGATTAATTTTATAGGTTTACACATTCGGATTGTGACTCCGATTCATTAAATGTAAATACGGTGGAAACGGAATATGTCTGTCCGACATGCCGCAATTCACCGTTGGTTGCGGATGCAATGATGATATCAACCGGAAATAGTTCCGTTGCGGCATCACCAACTTCTATCTCCACACATGATGAAGCATCACGTAGTGTTCCGCTTGACAGCTCATATTGCTTGGATTCACCTAATAGAAACAGCCCGCTGATGTCACTATCTCAGTTGGATACTTTTGGCGACTTCTTCAACATTCATCAATCTACAGGTATCAATGTACACTGGGAGTGTTTGTTTTTGTAATGCATGGTCAAAATTCTTGCTACTCTGATTACTTCATATTGTTTTAAGAGCACAAGACAATCATTGAAGGTGTTATGTCTTCCTACAGTAGTTCTAGTTAAATGTATAGCAGTCGGATGAAATATAGTGGTTAAGTGTACTGACGGAAAATTTTCCTATCAAAATTAAACATAATATTATCTAAAATTGTAGGACAAGTTCCATCAATGTCGCCATCTGGATCTACCGCATTGAGTGGACCGATGTCTTCCTGTAGAGCTTCTCCCGGTTCGTTTCCTGAATTTAGTAATACTGGCGATGCAACTGATGAACTGCGATTCAGTTCCAGGTCGGGATTTTAAGTCCTTCGAGCTTTTTCACCATAATTTTATGTTGACGTTTAATCAAATATGAAATGCAGTGTTTCAGGATAAAAAGAAAGTAAAGACCTTTATCTTTAAAACACTTTCAGAAGAGAACGAAGTGATATTTCTTGCACTTTTAATCGAACATCGCGTGGTGGTGGAGTAAAAAAGCCCTGTGGTCGTGGCATAGCGCCTCGAACACGTTCACTTGGTGGATTAAGTGATTTTGCAGAAGTAACCCATTCGCATCGAGGAAAACGGGGCGGAAGAGGTGGCAATAAAAATGGCAGAGGACGTCGACCAAGGTTATGCTTTGAATAAATCTATATCAAAGGTGTTTCTTTCAAAGACGCTAAGAAAGTACCATAAGCAGAATTGATTGAATTTGAAAGTTTTGTTGTTCTCCGATACATATCATTAAATTTGAATGCGATAACCTCCTACTGCACGTTGAGCATTTTCGAAATGGAGATTCTACTCATTTAATGTGATAGTTTATACCAGTTATTCTTTGTACATGATAGAACACCAATATTTTTTGTATAGAGGCGGTAAGACCTCAGCAATGTTGGCAATGGTTAATGCGGCAGCAGCAAATCGAGATGCAGATCAAGAAAGTTCGGAAATAGACGATACCCGACATCGTATGGAAGAGAATGATTATATCAGGACAGTGGTTGTAACATGTGCTGAAAATCCTTATTTCTTGCAAATGCCTTTATGTTTAATTTGTGGTAGTATTGGAAAAGATGTTGAAGGAACAATGGTTACATGTGCGACTTGCTCACAAAGTTATCACACATATTGTGTGGGATTGCATGATAAGGTGTGTCTTTTTGCTATCAAATTTTGCATTGCTGCATCTTTGAGGGTTTAAATTTATTCTACATTTAATAGAGAAGTACAACAGATGCATTACGCGGGATATATGGTATGTAATTTGCTTCAAAAAGGTCTTATTTGACCTATTTACTACTCTTCTTGATGTCACTCTTACTACTGAGAGATGTATATGTTCGACCAAAATATCTCATGAAGAACTAAACTTAACATTGCTCTTCATTTTTCTTGAAAAAAATTTTTCATAGCATTTGATTCAATTTTTTCCTTTTTAAGCTCAATTTCACAATAGTAAGAAGAGGATGGCGTTGTTTGGACTGCACGGTTTGCGAAGGATGCGGTGATGGGCATGACGAGTCCAACTTGATTCTGTGTGATGAGTGTGATATTTCATACCATATTTACTGTTTGGAACCACCTCTTGAGCGAATTCCACATGGACCATGGAGATGTAAATGGTTCGGCAATTTTTTTTTTCAGTTTTTCATAACTGTTTCATAATAGTTTCGTTTGTTGATAAACGCAATCTCCTATCAAGAGTGGCTTTCTTTAGGTGTTCGGCTTGTCGACGCTGTGGGAATCAAATATCCAATATTGCGGATAATCAGCACTTTTGTGATACCTGCTTCACACTTCGAAGGTGTCCTAAATGTTTGCGATTTTATGAAATTGGTGATAACATCATTAAATGTCAGCACTGTGCAAGGTATGCCAATAACGTTTTTATTTTTATAAAAACTACATTCACCAATAAGTTTAAATTTTCGTTCAACTTTTGAATAAAAAGGCATTTCCTCTTTTTTATGGAATGGTAGCAGTGCTTTTGACCATATGGAGGAATAAATTGACGTATCGTTGATCATATTTTAATCAGTTGCTCAAGTAAGGATTGATCAAAGCTATGTCCTATTGGTAGTTAATGTAATGGAGTTAATATAATGAGATTTAGGTGGCTACATGGCAAATGTGAAGAGTTGTACGGTGATGAGGTGTTTGAAACTGCATCAGAAAATGGTTTCCGTTGCTCATTGTGTCGTCCACAAGGTAACATAGGCAGCGACGCTTTCAACGTTTTGGTGTGCGATAATGTGATGATGAACAAATGCGCACTCGAAGTATTGCATTTACGTTTTGGTGGAGCGCTCTTTCGTTATCCCAGTTCTGCTGATGCTGTGTACGATTTCCCGTCATACTTCTTCGCACCGAGATCTCATTCATTTGAAGGTTGAAGCCTTTCAATATTCAGTTCTTTTTCTATATTGTTAAGATTCCCTGAGTTGGTTTTTTTTTTCAGTATTTGTAATGCGTTAGTGATTAGGCGATTCGAACTATGGATTAATATTTGAAATAATTTGTGAAAATGTGTTAGATTTCAAGAATGTAAGGGGGTTCCGAACATCATGGCTTGGTTGTATGTAATGGATAATGTTAGTAGCTAATGGCAGTTAAACAGAATCGTTAAGACATCTTTCATTAAATAAGCGAATTGTTTAAATGGCTTTGATGATTATCTTACGAAACTTTCAGAGCCAATGGAAGAAGATGATGTAGAAAGTTCTAGTTTTGGAATGAATGTAGGAATGAGTGGTCGAGGTCGAGGGATGCGGAGTGGCGGTCCTGGTCGGCGAGTGATGAAATTGGGTGTCGGTGGATTTTTTGTAAAGGTATTTCTGTTTCATATAATTACCGATGTTTATTTTTGCATCTTCAGCTTGCTTTCAACTTATGATAATATGGTTTGAGCAGGTACCTCGACATCGCTTATCAAATGCTGAAGATGAAAATGGTGTGGAAGAGGATTCAGCAAAGCCAAAAATAAAACGCTTCCGAAAACCGAGGAGATCACAGCTGGAAGACAATTATCCCCCAGTTATTCAAGTAAGCCCAAAAATACATGATATTTTTTAATTTAGGTAAAAATTTCAATCCTGGTATAAAACTTGTGCTCTTCATGAAAAAAAACAGTAACTCGTAAAGTAAAGCAAGTGCTAATAGGAATCTGAACTTTGTTCCAGGAAAGTTTTTTTGGTATGAGACCAGTTGAGGGAAGATGTTTGTTAGATGTTGTAGTGGATGAACCAACTTTGATAGAGCATCAGAAAGCGGCTTTGATTATTGACAAGCAGAAAGAAACCTGTGAATTGAACGAAATGGATTCTGAGGTTGTTAATGTTTCATGGTGTATTGCAGATATTTATTTTTTTATTATTGTGACCAACTGTGCCAAAACATCGGAGTAATACTGAATTAATCATTGTATTAATGAATTAATCCATTAAGAAGCAGATTTTTTTTTCATATACTTACCTTTAAATGTAAATTATATTCAAGTTTTAGGCCTTGCGTGAAAGTGAGAGCCTTTTGGGCAATATAACAGAGAATGACATTCTTGGAAATATGGAAGAAATTGATTTTGATAATTTGGATTTAAATGAACTGTTACTCGATGGTGATGAGGATGATGATGATGACGAAACATTGGAAAATGCATTGAGTGGTATTATTTGAAATTGTGTTATTTACCTAGTATTAATCAAATATAATTTCTGATTTCTTTTTTACTAATGCTTACCTAAATCCTAAACAAAATTCTCTGCTGAGATTAAAAACAGTCTTTAAGAAGGACAGCTCTTTTGGTTTTTTGCTTGGATGTCTTGCACTGATCTGATTCCATAATTCCCTGATATTCATCTGGAAGCAGATATCGAGTTTATTCATTATAAAATGCGACTTCTACAAGTTATTTCGATAACTCAGTTGATAATCAATAGATAGTCTGGCATGATTGTAATATTCTAATTAACAAATACTACCTTAGGATATGATAAAATGTTATTTGTTTGAAGTATTTCGTGCAGATAACGATAAAAAAGAATTGGGAATAGTACTGGAAATTTAAGAATTGTTTCAGCAAAAACCTTCCATACTACCCTACACTTAAGTTGCTTCAAATTAGATAATTTATATTGTATGCTTCAGATCAAATGGGACCTTGCAGTGAAGATGGTCAAATAACTATTAGCCCTCATGGTGGTCCCATGCGACCTCAGACTTTGTGCTCGGGGCAGCAGGTATTGCCTATGTACTTTCTACAAGAAAGGTTTATTTTTCTGGAGAACAGTAACTATTAGATTGTCTTCGAGGGAAGGTGATTATCAAAATTTGCTGTTGCTTGAAACTTCATTCTGGAACCGTGCTCTACTTTTCTTATTTAGACTCGAAGATTTACGATTGCTTCAACAATTAATCTAACACAAGGGAACATTCGTCAAAATGTACATGTGCATGGTTACAATCAAACTGGTATCTGCACTCAGCCTAGATCAAGTAGTCAGGTACTTCAAAGTTTTTTTGTTTTAGAAATTGTAAAACTAAAATATTTATTAGAACTCAGCATTTTTATTAGAACATAGCTTATAGAACTCAGCATTTTTTAAGCTGGGCGATACTTGTACTGAACGAGTAAATCAAGCAACAGAAAAGTGGGAAGAAGATGAACCATTGGGAGATCGTGCTACCAAAGCTGCTGTTCTTTATGCAAACATTAATTACCCACAGTGGAAAGAGCAATATCCAGAATGGCCAGAACGTGTGAAACACATTCATCGGATGTGGAGATCCTTGGATGCAAGCAGTAGACAACAGTATGTAAATAAAGCAAGAGAAAATCGAGCAAATAGAGTGAAGGTAAGAAATGTTTCTTGTTTTGGATAGCTTGTAGCTGGAATCTTCTCCCTTTAATTGTTAAAAATATATTGCAGCAGCCTCGAACAAAGCGTATTACAACATCGACGTCAACTCCTACAGGCGTTGTTCGAGCTATCATTGGTTCGCATCGATATGGAATGCTTTCAGGACAAGAGAATATAGCAGGATATTGTCGTTCTCAGGTAAATTTTATGTTGTTTTCGAATATTTTTGGTTATGATTTTTAGGAGTTGCACATTTTATTTTATGTCACGCAAAATAACATGAATGTAGTTTGGAAAAAGTGAACTCTTTGCTTTTATTAGGCAGAATATAATGAACGCTTCAAAGTTCCAACAATACCTTATGGTGGCGGCGAATGTGTCATAGATCAAAATACGGCTGTAAGTTCTGTAGACGTCTCCATGGTCCAACCTTATGGAGCAGCACAGCAACATTATTATCATTCCGAACAGGTATTTCTTGATATTTTAACTTCCATTAAGAAGGAAATTTTTATTCTTGGAAAAAATTTCGTTTTGTATTGCTTTTCACAGCGTTACTTTTCTCATTGCCACATGGATAATAATGAATGGAGATGGGTTTGCCCACTATTATCAACAATCATCGATTTTCTCAGCATTGCATCGTTCTTACAACATTAGCCATGTTCATCTTTCAGGAAGGTGGTTCATTCACTAGTGCACCTCAGCCTAGACCTGTACCTGTAAGGAATCCACAATCTTTGATTGCGCATTTAAGCAAAGAAGTTCTTGATAATTATAGTTTGCTGCAGAAACGAAGCAATGAGTTAGCGAAATATCAGTTGGTATGTTGGTGTGAAAGTTTTCTTCATATTTTTTTCTCGTTAAACAGCTCTTTCATTGGATTGCACACACATGTTCCATGCTGTGTTTAACATTTTCACTCACTGAAAAGTTTTTTGCTCGACTGATTTTCTCCAAAGTACCGTGAAATTTTCTGTTTAAAAGGTGACATTATTTTTATAATATAAAAACCTTTTATGTCTCATAGAGCATAATTTTAGGCAATTGAAAATGACTTGGCTCGAATGCGCAAACAGAAAAAAAATCTCACAGCGAAAAGAAGACAACTGAATAAAAATAATCAACAATACGATGCTCACGGACAGCGCATTGAAATTGAACTAAGCGAAACTGACAGGTATGTTCATTATTTTATGCATTCATTTTATTTCCATTTTTAGTCAAAATAGATGAAAAACGAGCTTATAGTAGACTAAAGAGTGATGTTTCTACCGATATTAAAAACGTGTAAGCTGGATGCGGCGTTCGATCCGGTTGAATACCATTTAACATTAATTTGGCGAAATGAGTGTAGTGCCATATCCTGTGATTCATTTGAAGTTGTTCCCGGTTTGGCATTATCAATTTTTGCAGACATTCACTCACAACACTTACCAATACTATACCGATCCGGCAGAAAGATTTGGAAAATTGCAAGCGCGACATTAAACTCCATTCTTCGAATGTTCGTGATTTTGAAGTTAAAAACAACATACCACCAGAACTAATTCCACAAATGACACCTGTCGTACAACCTGTTGGCCTACATGTAAATGCTGCGCGCACAAAACAACTGCAAAGTGGTACACCTCCCATGCCTAATGATATGATTTCTCCAAACAACGGCATTCGACCTCCGCCATCATATTCAGCATTTGGTGTGATGAGTAACTATCGACCTCCTTATCAACCTGGCACTAATCAGATGTCTGAATATAATCATTCTGGCTATGGAACTACTCCAAAAAGTGAGACTGAAACTACGCAAATGTGTTCGGGTATAAATTATTTTATTTCTTTTTTCAAGAGCACTGATTTTGCAGGAATTAGACAAGTTTACTTAGCTGTTCTCTCATGAGAATAATTTTGAATAGAATGTATTATCGAATGCAGTTAGTTAATGAAGGTATGAAAGCTAAGAAATATACATAGTTAATACTAAATGTTTTTGTTGTCCTTAAAGATTCTCCAACACCATCTAGCGGTCGACCGGGGTCATCGAGCTCAACGGAATGGCAGTATCGGGGAGGAAAGGGAAAGCGGAAAAAACGTGACGATGATCGCAATGAAGAGTGCAAAAGGCCAGCAATGCTTGGTGATGTTGCCGCTGAGACTCTTACCACACAGTTTGGGCGAGATATTTATGATGTTGTGGATCGTTTAATAACGCAAGCTGTTATTATGGTAGACGGTACATGTTTTCTCGAATTATTCATTTCTTTTCCCTTTTTTCTTTAAAAGGAACGTCAATTTCGTCTTTCACTATCCTTTGAATTAGCTTTTTTTTCGAAATTGTTTCAGGTGCTGAAGCTGCTCGAAAAAGCGGAATGCTGAAAAGACTTTTAGAATCGCAAATGAAAAAAGAATATCCATCACAAAGAAATTCTTTTACAGGACTAGAATTTAACAGTAGGTTTTTTTAAGATTTAAAACATTGGCTGAGCGATGGTTAATATTTATTAAAAAATCTTTAATTAGATTTTTGGAATGTGAAAATTTTTGTTACAGATTCATTACTTTTTTTTTGCAGTCCCTCCAAAACCAAAAAAAAAGCGTACTCAGCAGAAGAAACTTGGTGTTGGAAACAGTAATGAGTACGAATTATTGCTAGAACGGATTTCCACTCAACTTCGTCTTTGCCCGCAGCTTCCTCGAAGTGCCATTGAACCCATATCCCGCATTGGTCGTTCATCTTATGCCATGTTTGGTGTTACAGATTTACCAGATCGAATAGGTTTGTCTAAATCTACATAACTTTTGTTGCTTCAAAGAATCGGACTTGTCAAATTTATTTTGTCTGTTTTAACTTTAAAAATGAGAAATGACATTTGTAATTTAATTCAACAGGGTTATTATAATATTTTTTCAGCGACATTAGTCTTTGCACAGGCTCGTGTTGAATGTTAATCTTGGACTCTGTTTAACCAATTTTGACAGTTTTGTCGTGAATGATTTGCATATCACTGATATTTATTTAGATTATGCTTACTGATTTTTTGAAAAATTTGTTCTCAATTTTCTAATAATTTTTCAGATAAGCCATCAGTCAAAGGAAGCGAAATTGGTGATGTACGCCTTGTTTTTATGGGCGATTATTATACGCGTCTCTTTCAGTGCCCTTTCGATGAAACTTCACTTTATCAAACAACATCTGATTTTGCAGCTGATATAAAGCTGCCAGTTTTATACAGGTATGGCTCTGACTTCTCTTACTATATTCCATAGTTGATTTCGTCACTTGTGCAGGTAATTTATCGTCTTTTAAAAATTTTTAGTATAAATTACTTTCAGAACAAGATGCGTTGCTCCACGGGGGATACAGGAAAGGGAAAAATCTGTAAGTAAAATGCGAGCACTTTCGGTAGTTCGTCGTTCTGGCTCCCCACCTTTACGGCAAATTTCGAGGATACCTGAATCTGTAATGCCAGAGGCACCACCAAGACACGCATTTTTTAAGGTTTGTAAAACTTTATTCATTTGGCTTTTAATTAAGTAATAGTTGTGAAATACATTAGTGAATTTTTTTTTAAATGTTTGACAGTTTTTACTTATAAGTAAAGTTCCTGTTTATTATCTTCAGTGTGGTCGAAAAAATGTGGCACGTGCAAGTAGGGGAAGACTATATGGAAATGATATTAAAAATAATAATAATTATAGACTTATCGATTATTGCTGTTTGAACTGAATTGATTTTCGTATCAATTTATTCAGTTATTAAATAAATTTGGTTATTAAAATATACTATAGTAGAATATTATATGGATATGGGATTTTTAAAGTGTAGTTCAATCGGAAATTATGTTATACTATTTCGATACATTTAGGCGAAATAAAAATTGAATATATTTTAGAAACGTGAGTTGCCTAAAAAAGTAGAGGTCAGTATTGTATTCGAAGGTCCAGAAAGCAGCCTTGATGCTGAAGCTGGTTTGAGACAGTTAATGGTGCTCCTCGGTATGGAACAGTTACCAGATTATGAGTTTGACACTCCACCTCAAACTCCTGAACCTTCAAAACGTGGGTGTCAAAGTTTTATCATTTCTCAACAACTTTGTAATCTTTTTTAAAATGATTTTCTTTCTAATATTTATGATATGGTTAAAATACTGTGATAATTGAATTGGATACAATTGCTAAATATTGGGCTGAATAGTATTTCAGACAATTAATTCTGCAATTATTTATTCGCTTTAAATGAATATGTTTAATCGGCTAAGATGTGGCGAAGATTGTGATTTCAGGTGATTTTGGTGAAATCCATTCTTTCTATCAATTGATTTCTTTCAGGTGATCTTGGTGAAATCCAGAAAATAGAATCACCAGTGACGGATGATTTTACATGTCGTCATTGTGGTGCGTTGACTGATCAGCCTGCTGTAAGGCAAACAGCTCACCAACTTGGAATTGTTGATCATGAAGTTTGTTGAAACTTTGTTTCCTTGGTTTCCTTCATTTTTGATGTTTTTTAAAAATTGTTACACTTTTGTTACGATCAAAAACTATTTGATCATTATTGGGTCTATTTCAGCCAAAAGATGAAACGTTAGCATTCTGCTCAATGAACTGTTACTACAATTATATGGCTAATGCGAAAGCTGCGTTGTCACCAGAGGATCTTTCGGTTATTTCCTCATTCCGATCCATGTTTTTTTTCTTACTCATACTTTGGTTTGACCAAGTTTTGAATTTTAGAGAGCAGAACGTTTTATTGGCGCTGAAACGTTAGCTAAACTTCGGCAGGCAAGCGCTGATAATTTTGCCAAATATCTTCATCTCGGAAAAGTAAGCCGTATCTTTGTTAGCTAGGATCGGTCAATTGGATTTATTCTTACGAAAGTTAGCAGCATTTTGCTTCAGGCATCGGGAAAATTATCTATTCTTCACCATTCTCGAATATTCTCGTCCTTATATCACGTTGATTTTCCGCTTAAATTTCGTAGGAAGAAAGTTCAGTCTAGCCGGAGCTATCTCTTCAGATATTTCTTTTATAAATTCACATTTTGCTTTTTCCTTCTTTCTGCACCACACGCTTTGCAGTTTAAGGGGCAATTAGAATCGCCTGGAAATTCAAATATGTGTTCACCATTGAGTGACGGTCGTGTTGAGTCTGATGCGAGGAACAATATTCAGGTTCGATTTTTCGATACTGAGCTTCTATGCTGATTTTGATACAAGTGTTAAGGAGCACTTTATATTGAAATTTTATAGGTGGAGGAATATGTTGTACACTTAATGAATTATTGTAGATAATTCAAGCTCGAGAGCTGTCATTAATGAGTGATCGGAACATTCAAAGGGCTTTGGAGAGGAAATGGAAAGGACAACTGTGGATGCAGTATGATACAACGATTATAGAAAGTTTCCGTGAATTATCAGTTCAAACTCGTCAGGTGGATATCATTTCATTACTTTCAACACATTTAATTTTAATACTTGTTCAAGCTTTTTAAAAATGTTGCAGTGAGTTTTATTACTATCTATCAAATTCAGATTACGACTAACTGGTAGGAGCATTTAAGAAGTAAATTTGAAAGATCACGTTGGAAAGTTACAAGAAAATATGTTTTAGAAGCAGCTAATTGCCGATCTCCAAAGCGTTTTACGTTCCCACTGCATAGACCTTACAGAAGACAAACGGCAGTGTGCATTTTGTGGGCAATTTGGAGACGGAGAATTAGATAATTGTGGAAGACTTTTGAACGCGGATGCTAACATCTGGGTGCATGTTAATTGTGCGTTATGGTCCGAAGAGGTTGGTTTTACAGGAAAAAAATTTGTACGACTAGGATTGCAGAAGAGAACGTCTAAACTTTTCAAAACCATTGCGAAATTGCAAATTTTGCAGGTTTATGAGACTTCTGCTGGAGCACTTATAAATGTGGAAGATGCACTTAGACGGGCAACAAATGTGGTTTGTTCAGTTTGCCATCTTGTGGGTGCCTCATTAAGATGCTACAAACTTAACTGTGAAAATCACTTTCATGTTTTTTGCGCCAAATCGACGAGAGGAAAATTCATGAAGGATAAGGTGAGACTTCTTATGGAAATGTCTTGTGTAATTGAAACGAAGCAATGTATTTTGTTCTTATATTACAGACTTTCATTTGCGAAGAACATGATGATTATCGGAATGACTTGATACTCGATCATTTAAAAGCTTTGCGCCGTATTTATGTTGATCGTGAAGAAAATCAGTTGATAGCAAAATTGTTTCACAGCGAAGCGGACCGACTAGTTTTGCGAGTAGGCAGCCTTATATTTAACCACATTGGGCAGCTGCTTCCAGAACAGTTAAAAGCGTTCCATAATTCAGATCATATATTTCCGGTTAGTTTAAGTTTTTAGCTGTAATGGTTGTGTGGTTTTATTTTTTCTGAGACACAAATTGTTGGAAAATTTTCATGAGTGGTTTTAGATTGGATACAGTGTTAAACGGATTTTTTGGTCATTAACTAATACAACTGATCGTACCCAATATCAATGTACAATTTGCGATAAATCATCAGCACCAGAATTTGTAATCTCATACGGGGACGGCCAGGAAGTTCGGGAGACTTCGGCATCAGGTATGGAATTGTCTGCCTGTCTGTAGAGTCTAGAGAAAAATTCTCTTCCTGTTTCCTTTGTTTCCTTTTACATTTTCAATAAATATGTTGTATTTAAGCTGCCTGGAACCATATATTAATGGAAGTAGAAAGAACACGAGATAAAGATGATGGATTATTACGTCTATTCCCAGCGAATCTTACTGGCGATAGTTTATTTGGTCTTACGGAAGCAGCTGTTTCAAAAATGACGGAGTCGGTAAGGATGGAAGATCTCTATATGCATACGATGAATTTTATTAGGATTTGTAAAATTTGCCCATTAAAATTTTGAGATGTCTTTTGAGTTGGTTGATTTCAGTTGCCAGGAGTGGACCAACTGATAACTTATACTTTCAAACATGGTGGAGTTCCTCTGATGGACTTGCCTCTGGCAGTCAATCCAAGTGGATGTGCTAGATGTGAGCCGCGGTTCCGCACTCTTATTAAACATCGTCGGCGTAATCAACCACCAGCGGCTACTGTTCGGTCATTCGTTAGTACTGATGTGCTTTCACGTGACACAAGAAGTTTGTTATATTATTTTTCGATATGAATTTCTAATTTTAAAAATTGCTTCTTTACAAGTTATGGACAAAAAAACAGTTTAAGTGATGAACAATCTTGTTTATTTCAGCTGTTTTTAAATTTGTAAAGATCTTAATTTCTTTCAAATTACAGCACGTGGTAATAGCAGTTCACTGTTCAGCGCAGTAGATGTGTCTGTGGGACGTAGTTCATGCAGTACAACATTAGACTGTTACGGCGGGCGATGGGAACCTGGACAACTGAGTACAGCTTATTATTCACAATATCAGAAAATGAAGAAAGAATGGAAAAATACTGTGTACCTGGCTCGTTCACGTATTCAAGGATTAGGATTATATGCATCACGAGATATTGAAATGAATTCCATGATTATCGAATATAAAGGCGAAGTTATACGTAGTGAAGTTAGTTTTTAGAAGTTGATTCTATGGAGTGAGTTCCCTTTGATATCAAAAAAATTGTTACGAAAGCAAACTTTTGATTTGACCGTGTTCATTTTTTAGCTTATTACTTCTCTAGAATGTCTTGTCGATGTAGTTACCTGCTATTCTATAAGTCTATGCACCGCTTTTCATAGCGGTAATACATCTCATGGAATACTAAGTCATGGGGTGTTTGAAGGTTGGCGAAATGCGTGAAAAGAAATATGAAGCTCAAAATCGTGGTGTATATATGTTTCGTATTGATGACGAAAAACTTATTGATGCAACAATGGCTGGTGGTCCAGCACGATACATCAATCATTCCTGTGATCCAAACTGCAGTACGCGTTTGGTGGATTCGGGTCCATGTGGTGATGACAAAAAAATTATTATTATTGCTAACAGACCTATAAGTGCCGGAGAAGAGGTAGATATCCAAATATTTCTAAAATTTTAAGAATTTTACACTTTTGTTACATGTTTGTTTCTCCCATTCCGAAACAAAAATAAATTGTTTTCTTGTGTTGTAGTAAAAGACATTTGCTTGTTTTCATTTAAAGGATATATGCTTAGTAATGTTATCCAATAGGCTATTTCCATACTGAATTCAATTAAATAATTGGCAGAACTTTTTTCAGTTAACATATGATTATCAGTTCGATATCGAAGATGCAGCTGATAAGATTCCTTGTTTATGCGGTGCACCGAATTGCCAAAAATGGATGAATTGAGATCACTTCTTCAACGTTATTCTTTGAAAAGTTCCCAATGATTCAATTTTGTAACAAGTTCTCGTCACATTTTTTTCATGTTATCGATGTTTCCATTCGTGGATTTTTTAGGAATGTAGTATAGAACAGGAGTGCATTTTTGTATGATCATCTGTTATGCAAACTGTTTTTTGTTTAGTCATATCACCTGAAGTCATTTTTAGAAGTTGTCAGGTTGATTTCTGTTAGGAGAATATCCTTTGTATTTATGAGACCACATTGAAACTTTTAATTTAAATGAAATGAATTTTTCTGAGACTGTGGTGTAGCCTTTCTATTAAAATTATTCTGTTTAAAAAGCAGTCACATTTGTTATAATCAGTTGCCTACAACATTTGCTACAACCAGAGAAAAAAGAAATCTTTTTGTAAACATGTATTATTTGTCGTGGAATATCTTTCTCGCACTTTTGCATTTTTAAACAAATCTCAGCAATCTTCTGTAAACTGCAATATCTTCTTCCCAGTTTCTCTTTTCATTCAATCACTTGATGTTATAACCGAACTAAAGAATCGCAATGTTTTGTTTGCAGGAACGAAAATTCTGCTGTTAAATAATGTTCCTATGTTCATTAAATTTTTATATTTTTAATCTCTATAATATACGGATTCGTACTGCATTCTAATTTCTGAGATTACTTTGGACACAAATAAAAAAAAGTGAATACCACAAGTGCGAAATAGTCCTCTTTTACCTTCTATTAGCAGTTGGATATATCTGCAGAAATATTGACTTTGTTTGTTTGGAATTTGGATTTTGTTTAACTGCTTTTTATTTCTTTACCAAATTTCTTTTCATTTCTTTTAAATTGTTTTTTATATTTTTTATCACTTTCTCCAATTTTTTTGCATCAAAATGTCTATAATAGGTTTTTTTTATAAGATAGGACATCCATACAAAAGCTGCTCATTTGTTCGTTAATTTTCTATTATTCGCGATAGTTTAGCTTCTATTTTCAAAATTTTCAAAATTTCCATATTTTATCATTTTTTATCATATCCTCCATTATTTGCATCGCAGTGAGTTCCGAGAGGAAGGAACTTCCTGCTCTCTGAATGGAAGGAACTCCATTCCAATCTGTTGTTAGATAGAGTCAATTTAATAAGTTAATTTAATAATCTGAAATGCCTTTCTAGATTGTTGATTAAAGCTGCTGAGAAATGGAGCAAGAAGCAGTTTTTGATGTTGGTGATTTCGATGAACGAGATATCTCGCTGACTGAAACACCTCGAGATCCGTCGCATTACTTGCAACAGGTCACTAATTTAACTGGTGTTTTTCTAAGCATAGGAAAACCGTTTTAATCAATTTAGGAACTTAGTGTCTTATAGTGGAATTTACTTGTAATTCCATAGTATGCTAATTTCTTACAATACTGCTAATCGTAAATCAGAAAATATATATTAAGCAACTATGCTTTAATGAAGCGTGCCATTATTTCGAATACAGCATGATTGCAAAAATAGCAAATCGATATTTTTTTGTATCTGAAATGATGAAAGAAAGAAAGTCGGGAAGGTCCACAGTTCTAGAACGTTATTCAGCTTGTTTGTGAGGATTTGAATAAAAAGTTATAAAGAAGTAGGGATTGAGTTCGAAAAATTTTCTGCAGGTTAGTATGTCGCGTGCACGTTGTCCAGAAGTAGTTTCAGCAAAAACGATTCCCACAAAAATTGCCTCTTCTGCAATCTCCGAAGATTTGTTGTTTAGCTGTGAACCGCCTTCTGAATGGTCTGTTGCGATGGTGAATATAGCATTCTTTTTTTCTTGGATCATGCATTCTTAGTAAGGAAATTTAATTAAAAAAATTCTTTTGGATGAGGTTGAACTTTTTGCCTCGTGCTTCTTTCAGTTACTTTGGATACTATAACACTTAAGTCTTTCAGATGTTTTAATACACATCTTTTTCCCGCTCTCAATATTCTCTGAATTTGCAATTGCCTCAAACCTAATGTGTTTTGCAGATTAGGCCAATTAGTTGTTATTATGCTTCAGAGTAATAAATTTTCAATGCAACGGTCCCTTGTTAATGCTCAAAAGTGGCGTTGGAAGAAAACTATAACTTTTAAATGGCCAAGCTTAGTAAGTAATTAATTCCTTTGCCGTTGTTAAAATTACTTTCGTGGTGCAGCATAAACTTGTTATGTCTGGCTTTATTCAAAAGCTTCATTTAAGAATTCGCTAAAATGAATGTAATCTTGTTTTTGTTGGTGCTATTTACTTGGTCATTAGAATCAACCGCCGTGTACTCTGAAAACTGACATAGTTTGAGATGTCAAGCTTCATTTCACATCATAGTATGTTGTTGAATTTTCCTCGAAGAGTATTTACTTTTTGTTTTTTGATATGATGATTGATATAGCACTCAGCAGAGAAAGTATCACAGCTCAAATGTATGAAAAAACGATGGACCCATCGTCATTTCGTTTGATTGTTTCCATCTTTCAAACACTTTTAGAAAGATCCCGATGAATGGCGCGTATTCTGCTTAGAGGAACGGAATAACTCATTTCCAACAAAAGTGGGAGATGCTTCAAGATTTGCGCATCATCGCGGTAATCCGCCAACATTACAACTCGTGTTCAGTTTGTCCGAACAACAAGTCAATACTGTGATTCAATATCTTATAGATGTACATATTTAAATCAAGTTTTTTATTAAAGTAAGAACGTGAGTTCAGAAGTCTGTGGTTCCTTACTTGATAGAAGTGTTGAATGAAAACATTAAGAACAAAAAAACAATTTAGCCCTAAAAAGTTTTCTATTATTTATTAAGGAGTAATAAGGTAGTGAGATTTTGAAAAGTGCTTTCCCGTATTAAAGCATTTTGAAAAATGTTTCTCTGTATTAAATTAGCATTTCCAGTTTATATATTAAGTGCTAACTTTTGTAGCATATGTGTGCAGAATATTAATTTGACATCGGAAGAGTGTGTTAATTTCTTTTGAAAAAATCAGAACCTCCGGAATGAGTATTTGGCAACATTTTCAAATGTAAACTTAAATCTCAGGAGAGTTTCAACACTTTATGAGTTTAAGATAATTTGTGTACTTCCACGCTGTGAATCAGAATCTAGTGATAGATTGTTTGTCTTGAAGAAAGATTTCTTCATTGTATCTTGCTTGTCCCTATCTACTTTGAAAGTTATTCGACAGGGACAATATAAGTTGATAAACACGATACATTATGCATGGTTCAAACAAGATCATTAATCATCTGTACTGAATTGGTTAGATACTGTGGAAAATATGGCAGTAATTGAAGATTGCATCACAATGTAACTGGTAATAAGGGGTGTTGAATAGCTTTTTTTCAGGTTTTTCTTGAAGTGGGCTATACGAGACCGCTATTTGAATGGATATATGCGCTAATGTTGGTACTGCAAAAGCCGTTAACGCACAATGTGTGTTCATCGATACGTCAATTGGCTAAACATTCACGTGTTTTACGAAATACATTAAATGAAGAAACGCAAAGTGGTAGCACAATGCATGAAGAATTGTCATTATTTATTGCAGTTGTCGGTGTTTATTTCGAACAATTGGATATCGCTGATCAGATCTCTTCTTAATCTCTTATTATTTTCATTTAATTTTCTTAAGTGCCGTAAATATATATTACAAAGTTTCTTGTTGTCACTTTGTTTCATTTCATTTCGAAAAATAGTGGTAAAATAAGAGTGTTGTACGAAGTGTTCCTTGTACTTTTATTTTTACACTTTCATTCACTTAAATTCCAATCAGTCGGTTTCATATATTCAGCAGGATATCTGTCGATTATATAATTGACAAATTGTAGCAGTTTCATTTGGATCTTTCACAAATTAATGTTTGCTTTTTTAATTTTGTGCAGTTTATAAATAGTAAAATGGAGCATAGAATAATAAATTAGGATGTATAGTATATGTTTATTACATTGCTGAATGCAAGAAATGCATTTATTTTCAAAATTACATAAGACGAATAAATATATGCAGTATCACTAGAAGCGGTGTCTGTTGTTGAGGAGAATTTTCCTTGGATTCTGCTTATTTTTTCTGAAAATTTAATTTCAACTACTCATCGAGTTTTGTTCTCTTTTTCACAATACTACGCATTACGTGTTGAGTTTCATGATATGATACTTAGTAATAGATATGTGAATAAAAGCTAACTGTAAATAAAATGGAATTTAACCGGTAAGAGATAATATATGGGTTTTTCAATTTGTTTAACTGGTAATATCAGTATTTTATACTGCCATATATTTCATGCTCGTTTCATCATTATTTATTACTTTTAAAATTTAATGCTAACGAAATATGAATTTATCTCTTTGAAATTTCAACGTTACATTTCGATTTCACACAGATCTATGTTTTTAGCAATTGAGAATAAATTGCATATTATGAAGGATTAAAGTAGGAACCATTGATTTTGATGGGCTTTTTTGCAGCTTTTCAGGACTTTCTGTATTGTCTCTACCTTTAATTGATGGCATACTTGCAACATATTCAGCTCCATGATCTATTGCTCTGTCAAAATACTAAAGCCATAATTTAGTAATTTTTATCAAAGTTTCTAATGAAAATCTCTTACTCTTTATACTATCATTTGATATTTAAAAAATTTTGCAAATTTTAAATAAAATTATTTTCATTTCAAATTTATTACTTTAAATTATAAATTGTGATAAAAACAGGATAAAAAGAATGAAATTGACCTCTTCCGGTAGCATATTCATCACATATTTTTCAACCACATCACTTTCCGTATCAGCTGCACCGTATGTATGTGCATAAAGAGGTTGCATAAAGACATATTCAGCTTGATCATTTTCATCCTCTTTTAATACTGAATTTTCTTCCATAGTTTTAATTTTTCGTATTTCATCATTAGGGAAAGCATACACTGATGAAGCATTTTCTTCATCTTCTAATTTTGCATTCTAAATTTACGTTTTGTTTTAATTTTTAAATTTACAAATTTTTTTTTTCTCTTATATTTTGAAATGATCAATTTCATTTTAGTATTATGCGAACTAAAATAATTTATAATAATCTTTTCATGTTACATTCTTTTTCATACATATAATTAGAATTATCATCTTCTCTATTTAATAAAATTTTACAAATAAATTATTTTGTTTTAAGTGATAAAATTTTTTTTCTAATTTAACTATTATTTTACTTAAATTTCATTCTATATTTTTGTAGGAAAGAAAATATATCAAGAAAAAATAAAAGATAAAAAAATGAATAATCTATAAACGATTAATAATAATAATATTACTACTTCAGTTTCTGCAACTTTTACTCCTTCTGCAACTTTTACCACTTCTGCAACTTTCTTTGCATTACCATCAGTAATCTCAGCATCTAATCCTTGTTCATCCTTTGGCGTATTTTGTACAACTTTCACTTCTGTTGCTTCCAAATTTCCCTTCTTTATTTTTCGTTCTTGCTTACGTATTGATGATTTCGTTGCAATTGTACGTTCTTTACGATATGATTCCAATAATGCCTTTTGCGCTTCACGATATTCGTGTTGAAGATTTGTTTGTGATCGTGATAGTTTTGATGTTGTCATTTGATCTTGCTGTATTGACTAAAACAAATAGAATGAAAATTTTCGATTAATTGATTGATTGATTGATTTGTTTAATGAAGAAGGAAATTTTGATATAATCCTGAAAAAATTATTCGTAATTTTTGAAATAATGGAATAATTAATTGATATAATTTTTACTCAATTATGAATAAATATTTAAAGTATTAATCAGTGATATTGTATATTGTGCAATTTTGTAGTAATTATAACAAATTTCAAAAATAATCAGTGAAAAAAATAAATGGATTAAGATTTAAAAGATAATGAATGTGTCGAAAATAATTACTATAAGAGTTAATCATGTAAGACTTTAAAGTTAATTAGTATTATTAACCGAAATTTGTCCAGATATATTTTTAATATTTCCCTTTTTTTTCCAACTCAAAACAAATGATTGAAATAATTTTTTGATTTTGTATCGTTTCTCATTTAAATTTACATTAATTAAAGCTCCCATTTAAGTTTGCATTAATTAAAATAAAACAAAACAAAAACGAAGAAATGAAATTGAGAAAACGAAATATAATCAAACTTTAAATTAACTCGATTGGAAAAAGAAAACTTTTTTTTGATACAATTCATACAAATCTTTGATAGAAATAATTTTGAAATTCTAGAACAAATATTCTATGAAGAATTGAGAAGCAATAATAATTAATCATACTGGCGCACATTCTTCAATAGTTGCAGTCTGAAAATAAAAGAAAATAAATCAAATAATTTGAGCGATAATTTTTATTTGTAGAAAATTTAAAATTTAAAATTTTAAGTTTACAAAAAAATTTGATAAAGAGAAGATTGAAGATGAAAATTAAGCAAAATAGAAATCCGTTCTCAATGAAATACCGTTTTCTTTTTCACTGTTCCTTTCTTTTTCTTCGTTTGTTGAGAAGGCCGTGAATTAGCGCCTATTGTTAATGTAGAAGTAAGATCCTGACTTTTTGATGTTCCGGTTGATGGTGATGTTGTTACTGATGATATTGATAATGTTGATGGTGCTGTTACTAATTCTGCTCTTATCAGTTTTTTTGGCGGTAATTTTATCTTTCTTTCATAGATCGGTAATGGAATTTGCGTTTGACGTGTACGCATGAAATAAAACTGCTCATAATCACGACAAAATTCTAAAAGAAATAAAATTGAATACAATAAATATTACAGAAATGATAATATGATCGATCTCATTTCAAAGAAATAAAATAAAAGTTCAAAAAATAGTTTAAATAAATTTTAATTTAAGATAAATTGCATTAATGCATGCAATATTGCAGTATTATGCAACATTGCATGCATTAATATTTTATAATATTCATTAAATTGAGAATTTTACAAACAAACGATTCATTGTTTTTTTCTTATTTCAATGTTTTTACATTTTTTTGTGCATTTATAATTTCTTTTTTAGCTGGTAATTTTATTCAAAAATATATTAGCAGATAATACAAGAAAAAATATTTTCCTAAAATAAAATTTTGAATTTCGAAAAATTTTTTTTTAGAAAATTTGAAATTTTAAAACTTACTTGAAACAGCTTTATCGGATACGATACCTTTATTAACAAAACGTTGTATTGTAAGATAATGTATATACAAAAATTGTTCTTCATTTTGAACTGCACGAGAACGTTGTGATCTAACTGACCAAATAATATCCGTAACTACTGGTAAACGACATGATAATAATGTTCTGTAAAGTAATTCGAAAAATTTTTTTTTTTAATTTTAATTCAAATAATTTATATAAAATGATATTCGTGAAATATTAGTATTATATGAGTTATTAAAATATTGCTTACATTAGATATTCCATCGGGTCGTATAATCTTTTTGTTTAATGTATATTATGATAATGTATTTTATTTACGTACAAAGTAAAATGCAATTCGCAAATATTAGTCAATGTTTATGATTCATCAAATTTTAAAATTTATTTTATTATTTTTTTCTAGTTTTAATTTAGTATTTTTCTTAATGATGATAATTACTTCAGCCTTTTTTTTTAATCCTTAAAAATTTAAACCAAAATATAAACTTACTTAGAAAGTAATTCAAGTACCACTAATGTACCCGTTCGCCCAATTCCAGCTGAACAATGTATAATAGTCGGTGTTTTTCTGGCACGAGCTGAGCTAAGTAATGTATATGGCACCGTTAATTGGCTTGGAACAAATCTATCAGGCCAAGATACCCATTGATAATGTGCAAGGAGACGTCGGACGCCACGATATGTTAACAGTAATGCTGTACAATGGACATCTGGATCTGTTGCCCGCTTCTGTAATCATTTCAAATCAACAATAAGTCATGATGAATACTTCTTCTTGATGGAAAAATTTCATCATTATCTAATTCATTACTAATTTATTTTATTTTATAAGTCCTCTCATATTAATTATTAATGTAAGTGAGAGGGTAAAGGATTTTTCATGAGTTATTCGTAAACTAATTATCAGTGATAAAAAAAACGTCGTGCTTTAAATCTATTATCATAAATTAGTTGTCATTGATTACTTTGATTGTTTTAATTCTTTTCTTTTTTTCAGTTCATAATGGCATGATAATTATTCAATAAAAAAAGAAACGAAAATTTACTTCAACGGCTTGGATTGTAATACCACAAAATGTAAGTACTTGGCCCTGATTTAATGGCCAATATTGGGCACATTTATTGCGATTTTCTTCAAATGTGCGACATAACATTATGATTAATTCAACATTTTCTTGCCAAACCATACGCCAAAAATCACCACAAGTTTGATTCAATGGCCCCTTTATCAATATGATTGCATTCGTTTAATCATGATAACAATTTAATCAATAATAACAACAATAATATTATTATTAATAATTAATGATAATAATAACGAATAGTAACAAATAATAATTAATAATGATAATAACAATAATAATTAACAATAATAGTAATTATTAATGGTAATAATAATATTAGTAATAATAATAATTAATAATAATAAATAAATAAATGTGATAATTCGGACAAAGTAAAAATGAAGTAAAAAAGTGGAATAAAAAGAAAATGGATAAGATTAAAATAAGGATAATTAAGGAAGTAATAATTAAGAATTAATACTTGTGTACAAATGAAGGGGCATTCGAGAAGTTCATTATTAACCCAATTTGCATGTATGAAATCACCTTCATCTTCTGGCCATGGTTTCAAAAGAACTCTACTATTATCTAAGCACATTACGTCTGTAAAAATATCCTTTCTTGATTTTTAATGAATCGTAAATTGAAATATTTGATCAGGACTGAAATATTTAAAAAAAGGAATGCACATAAGTTATAATTGCAATAATTACTATTATTATTATTATTACCATTATTATTACTATTACTGTTATTATTTCTAATTGTTATTATTATTAATTATTATTATCATTGTCAGTAGTGTAATAATCTAGTAATTTGGTTATGCAATATTTCAGTGATGTAGTAAATCAGTAATACGGTGTGTATCAACTAAGTAATGCAGCAGTGCGATAATTCATAATGTAGCAATTCACTAATGCAATAAGTATTACAATCAGATGATGTGATAATTCAGCAATGTAGTGATATAGTAATGCAGTATCGAAATGGCAGTTGCAATCATTACAAAATCATATTAGATTATGCAAATGGAAGTTGTAACGTAATTTCCATTTACACATAGAAAAATACGACCGTGAATATTATCATTTCTCAACACAACCTTTTTCAACGTTTAATTATCATAATAATCCTTAAATATATCTTCAGTAGTTTACATTATTTTATGGCAAAGAATTAGATTGAATTCTCTTCCTCCTACTAAAATAAATCCGCTGCATAATTAATTATTTATAAGTATATAAAGAATTATGAATTAAAGAAGCAATGAATGGATACCATGATATCGGCATTTAGTACGATTCATTTTTTGGGCATTAAAAGTTAAATTATTTGGATGTGGCCCACGTGCGCGTAACTTATTATAGCTATTCCTCAATCCTGCAAGACCCAATGCATTCGTTTGTTCAGCAAATGCTCTCATTGCTGCAACAGCCATTGATATTGTTGGTGCCTCGTTTGCCACTTGATCAGTTTGCTTTGCAACTGCATTTTTCCTGAATTACTTGCTATTTTCATTTACTTGCACGCAATAACATTTTTGTAGTACTTTTTCCCAAAATAAGTCATTACCTTCTTACTGCTTTAGAATTTGTTTGGGTAATGTAAATGATTGATAATACATAATTCCGGATTCGATTGCTATGATTTTGAAAAGAAAGCGTAATACGTTTATTTATATTCATTATAAATTAATAATGATTAGATCATTTGAAGAGAGTAAAAAAAGAATATTTACTTCTTCTGACTGATATTATCACATTCGCATTTTTCTTTCAGAATACTTTCTCTCTCAGATAATTAATCTAATTTGTCATTATTGAAATTATATAATCATTGAAATAATTTCAAGTCAAATTAACAATTGCGCATGGTCAGATATTAAAGAATTAATTTAAACAAAATTGTCAACATAGATGATAGCACAGACACAGACACACACATACATGGATCAACAATAATAATTTAAGCTTATGATAGTAACTTGCAAATAAATTGTAATATTCATTCTTCTTCTTCTTCGTATGAAGAAAATAATCACATTAATCATTTATGCACAGATAAAATAATCAAAATAATCACCTAATAATCATTTGTGCATGAAGAAAATCAAAATAATTACTCATTTACGAAGAAAATAATCATAATTAATCATCTAATAAATACTTATGTGTGAAGAAATTAATAAATATATTAATTTTATCAAAATATTAATTTTATCAAACAAAAAAACAAAGCAATAAAATCATATACCTTTTTTTAATCATTTTAATTACAATAACGACTTAACCAACCACACAATTCAAACCACAATAATAAACTGATTAACGTTCTACTGATACGTTGTTTTATATACCTTTATCAAAAAATTCTAATATTTATAAATTTGCCTTTTATTTATTTTAATATTTATAAGTTTGAATTTGTTTTTATTTTAAGCTTAATTAATGCTTAATAATTCCAATAAGAATTGCTAAATATTTAAATTAATTATAAAAGAATTTGATTTGTCATAATTTATTGTGTTAAATTTTACGGCAATCGCGCTTTTTATTGTAATAAGAATTTTTTTTAACATTTATTTATGTCTTTTAAAAATGAAATTCTGTTTTATGAATACTAATTAAATTTAAATGTATGGATGAATACAACCTAACAATGCCAAATAATTCCAAGCATTTCATCTTTTAAAAATTCTGTCATCAAAAAAGATAGCAAAGAATAAATGCTTAATTGTTTCAACTTTTCTTTCAATAATTTTTTAATTTCTAATTTCTCAATTATTCCATCAGTAATTGTTAATTGAATTTTGGGAATAAGAAGCATCGGATGACAGAATATGCATGCATAATTAATCTCCTCGTTAGGTAAGAAATGAAATTTACAATTAAATAAATTGAATTATGAAATGTTACTAATTGATTGGTAAAGAAAGAAGTTTGAGGAAATTTAGAAATTTGAAATATATATCCCATATCTTTAGAATTACAATGAAAAATAAACAACTTGGAAAAATTCAATAAATCATTTTGCACGATGTTTTGTATAAGGTATTTCAATTCATTCAAATATTTTTATCATCTTATTATCTGATTTTGTATCAAATAATCATTGAACTTCTTTTGGTGATATCAAAAGCAACAAAATAAAAGTAATCGTTAATGTTAGCATATCATTAACCAACTGTTAATTGAAGAGAGGAAAATTAACAAAATAAATCATCTGGTATGGAAGGAAGTGTCAAATAAGTTTGGGGTATCAGTTTGAATGTCTATGGGTCACATGGTGCACAAATTTGATTTTGCATGAAATTTTGAGCAATAATCTGTTATGCATGACAAAAGAATCAATCATTTTTTTTGCAATGATAACAAATACATATCCTTTCTCTCTAATGCAAACACAATGAAATATACAAATACATTTTAAAAAGTTTGCTTCTCGAATTGTTTTTATCAAGATAAGATTAAAAATGATAGATTGATAAGTATGAGTTTGTTATAAAGGAAAAGAATTGGTAAGTATGAGTTTGTTATAAAGGAGAAGAATTTTAATTAAAAATTTGATTGATCAATTAAAATATAACTTCTCAATGATAATCAAAGGTAAAAAGAAAATTCTATCCAATGAATTGCACATCAATTTCATATTTATTTTTTTGAACAATCCAAAATCTCAATTCGATTATCTATCTCTACATTTTTCTTATCAAACTTCAAATTTATATAATAAAATTTAAAACCAACAACATTTAGTAATTTATTAAACAAAAGATTCGTCGCTTTCGCATATGTAAGCCTTCTTTTAAAAGATAATAATAAATTATCGAAACAGAAATATGAAGATAAAGTGACGAATCTTACTTTGAACTAATATTTAAGCTACCGAAAAAATGAAAAAGAGGCGAAAATCATAAAAGAGAAAAATCGTATCAAGACATGTAATATCACAAAAATTGGACCAAAAAAATGTCCTGGAATGATAATACAATAGCAATATACTTTCATTAATGTTTTTAACAAGATTGAGCTAAATTTCCAGTATAAATCAACTGTATTATTCAAAAAAAATTACGTGAAGCTTTGGACAGAAGGAAGAAAAAAACAAATAATATTCGGCAAGCCAATAATCGACTGAAACGAATTATCGAAAAATAGAATTTTAAATTAGGAGCCTTCGTGATTCTCAGGTGCTCGTTTTGTTTTAGGTCCAACAGGTGGCGGATGTGAGTTTTTCTTATTATTCAATAAAAGTGATGAGCTATAACGTTTTGTACTTTGTGCACCGTCAAATGTTACATAAGCTCCTTCTTTTAAACCTGAAACATGCATTTTTTTTGAAAATAATTGTGTACAAATTATGAATAGTACCATTAAAAAATGGCCTTCTAGAAGATTGTTTTTACTGCAGAATTGAATGATTGTCAGGGAATGCATAATCAATAGAAGTGAAATATTTAATACATGTAAACCGCATCGCTCAATAACGTAAAAAGTTGGTAAGATTAAGCATTTTTTCATCCAATATGTTACCATTCATAATTCTTTCAAAATCGCCATCGTCAATTTGACTGGAATCCACTTTTGGTTTTCTTGTTTTTATACCAAGTTCGCAATTAGGATCAGTCATGCCAATCCTCTGTACCAGTTCGTCGATTACATTCTCAGTTAGTTCATCTTTTGTTACCCGTCGTCTTACACCAATCCGCTGTCGCCTCACTTGTTCTCCCTGGAAACGCTGAAATGATTAAGTTTACAGCCGAAGTGATAAAAATTCGAAAGATCATCAAATCGGCATCCAGCAGAATTAACTATATAATGATAAATAGAATTACACTTCCTTCTGTCTAATTTATAGCTATTCTAACTTGTAATGCAACTTGGCGAGCTTCATTTTCAGCAACTGCTTGTTGAAATCGCTTTGCAAATGTCAACAATCGTGAAAAAAATGCATGAGGTTGCTGATTTCGTGATGATTCACCATAAAATTCCACGCATGCAGTGAAAGCTTCCTAAAACTAAAAGTAGCAAACAACACCAACTTTGGATTATACATATTATTTGATCAGAAACAAATCTCAGCTTCTCAAATTTGTTAAGCATTTTAATTACTTATTATTTACATATGTCCAATCTAAACGGATTGAATTTTTCTTCCAGATGGTACAGTTTAGGACATAAAATGAAGAAGGAAGAATGGTTATAATTACCAGAAGAGCAAAAGATGGAAGCAAATTCAAAAAAAATTTTAAACTTACGGAAGCTGTTTTGCATTGTCCCTGTAAAATTGAAATTCGCTTTTCGCATTTATCCAGAAAGTCGAGCAATGATGGCGGGCATTCTCCTCCTTTTAATTCTCGTTCTTTCTTAGCTGAAGCAAAATTCGCTTCTAATTCTCGCATATCGGCCAAAACTGCTTCCCACATTACTAAAAAACAACATATGTTATAACTCATCACTTTCTTCTCATTGAATTTAAATTATTAGAAAAATAAGTTATTACTGCTGCTGGCTTTATCAGCAAATTTCAATTGATCCGCGAAATCCAACAATTCCGGAAAACTTTGTGAAACTGTTGCTGCGATAACATGAAGTAATGAAAGTGATCGTTCCACCGAACTCTTCAAGCCAGAAAGCTAAAAATTAGGAAGAAAATGACAAAATGTTACCTTGATGAAGTTAAATTAGATTTTTTTCCCTACTTAAATAAAAAAGCCATACCAATTGCGAAAAAACCTTAATTTGCAATAAAAATTTCTTTAATTTATTATAAAAGAATTTTTTTACAATACTCTCTTTTCTTTTTTGATATTTTCTCAGATTGAAACGAACCGTATCCAAGCTAGATAATTTGAAACCGTAGACACCTCCTTTTCGCCCGCTGTTCATATAATTCCCATATGCAAGCAGTATTTCCAAAATTCGATGGAATTTTGTCGCTTCACGAACACATTTCGAAGCTGCTGTTAAATTGACAAATTGCTGCAAAAATAAACATCATGGAACAATACGGCTTTCAGAAATATCGTAAAACTTCAGCAATAATAAACCAATATTCATTCATCTGAATCAAAATTGCTTTCTCATCAGCTATGAATCTAGAAATTATGAAATGAATAAGCAATCTGAAATGAATTTGAAAGCGATAACTTTACCGGTTCCAGCAGGTCGACACTTTCATCAAAAGTTGCCATGAAGGACATGATTTTTATTTTATGCTCAAACCGTTCAATTTTGACGAGCTGAGCAAGGAATTGATCTTCATCCGAAAGATCCGAAAAATTTTTATGCTCTGATTCGTATTCCTTGAATTTCACCATTTCTCTAAAAAATAAGAAATTTTTTAAAATATTCCAATCATTAACCTTGATAAGCTATCAGTTTTATTTAACAACAGTTGAAGTAATTTTAGTGATTTCAAGTCCTTTTTTCTCCGTCATTTTGATCTATAAAAAATCGTTATTTCCATTAAAAGTGCTTACTCATGCGTTGGTGCAATCTTTATCAAAATGTCGACACTTTCCGGAATAAGAGCCTTCAAATCCATTCGATGAACAGCAGACATAATCACTGGTGCACTCATTGCCAGTTTTCGGCATGTTATTGCTAAAATAAAAGATGTAGCAATGTAGCAAAGCGAACAACGAGAACTGTGGGTGGATTCTCTTGAAAGTTCAAAACTATTTTTAATTACTTTGGAAAATATTTTTGAAATCGAAATTTTGGCGTAGGCAAACATCCTGACCCAGAAACTGAAATTCTACTTCCTATCCATCTTTTACATCACTGAAACCATAATTTTTTAAATCGATGCATACTGCGAGCAATCTTCTGTCTTTCTGAATCATTCCTACGTCCCGTTTATTTTCATGCTCAAGGATCAAAAAACACTTGAACGCCATCCAGAAATGTACGAAACATCCATTTATCATAACGGTGATCATGAATATGACAATGATCTATCAAGATAACGAAACTATCAAATCAATTAAAACTAACCGATATTCTGCAAACGTTTTGTATCCAAAATGGAATTCTTTTTGGTTGTATTAATATTACTGGTGCCATTTAAAGGATGTTGTCCTGGAGGACATGATTCGGTGGTATCAGGGCGTTTGGCAACTCCA